GTTTCGGCTTCCATTGCTTTTTAAAGAGGGGGGAAGGGAGAGATGGAAGCGGGGGTGGGGGGGTGGTGGAGGGGAGGAAGAGAGAGAGAGAGAGAGAGAGAGAGAGAAACATTGATGTGAGAGAAACACATTTGTTGACTGTCTTCCAAATGAGACCCAACCAGGGCAGGAGATTGAACCTGCAAACTCAGGTACGTGCCCTTGCCTGGGAATTGAACCCATGACCCTTTGGTGGGTGGGCCGGCACTCTAACCATTGTGCAACACCAGTCAGGGCCACAGTGGGAGTTTTAATAAACCATTATCCTGTTAAATTCTCATAATCCTTGTAAAAATAGATATTATCTCCTTTTAAAAAAATGGTTAAGCAACTTGCTGTAGATCACATAGATAATAATTGAAAACACTAGGATTTGAACTCAGATCTAAAGCTTATGCTGGTTCTACTATACTCCACTGCTTCAGTATGAGACCTTTACTCATATCTCTTGACCAGATCCTTTTGGAATGCCCATTATGTGAAATGCACCATAGTTGACGCTGAGATAATAGCAACAGACCTGAAACCTTTATGAACCTTACATCTCTTCACAGAACAGATGATCAATAAATATTTGAATTGATTACAGTGAAAGGCATTTTCACAGTGAAGAAGACTGAGGTGGACTAACCAAAGATTGCAATATTCTTAGTCTGATCCAAAGGGAGAAGAAAGGAACAAAAAAGAGAAAGATCTTGTAAGTACTAAGAGCCCAGAAACTTTGTCATATTGTTAATGCCCCTAGAAGTCCAAAGGGCCAGCTGTCTCAGAATTAGTTACAGATTATACAAATGTTTACTAATATAAAATCAAATAAAGATTATGAAGGTGTTTCCACGAAGGTTTTAGACCAAGGTTTGGAAAACTTTTATTCCTAAACTTTGCTGAACTGAGAACTCCAATAAGCATATAAGTTTAAAAGCAAGCAATAAAGAAACTCTAATTGTCTGGTTTTATGTTTTGTTTTTAATTTCAGAAAGAGGAAAGGAGAGGAGAAGGGGGAGAGAGAGAAAGAGAGAGAGAGAGAGAGAGGCGGAGAGACCAGTGTTGGTTTAGGTTTTGGATATTAGTCAGCATGAGGTTTGGGTTGCACCTCGCTGCCATCTTCCCCTTTTTATATCCCCCTTTTCAGAGCCACCTCCACTTCCCCCCCATCTCTCTCCTCTAAGTGATTGAGCTTTAGATCCTCAGCCTGGCTTGCATCTAGCTTCCCACTCCACTTCTCCCAGTGCGTTCTTGGCAGGTGACACAGGTCAGCTCCGGGGTCGTAGAACACTCACTCCACCCGTCTTCGCCAAGGCAGCTTCGAGGTTTGCGCCCCCAGGGCCCGCTGACCAATGGGCAAGCCCGAGTGCTGGAACGCGACTCGCTATTGGTTGGCCGAGCCATGGTGAGAGGTGGTGCGGTGCCCGTTCTCGCCAAGGGTGAGAGCTGTGGGCGGTTGTTAAGGCGACCGTTCGTGACGCAGCGCCACCAGGCCGAGCCGCCCCCAGATGATTGGCTGGCCGATCGGACGATCCTTTCTCATTGGCCGCGGGCTCGGCTGGCTCCGAGCGTGCGTAAGCTGAAGGTTCCTTCCGCTCCCCGTCTCCGTTGACTGGAGACAGGCGGAGCGCCGGCCGCGGGGTTCGGTGACCTCTAGTGAGATCAGGAGGTGAGGCGGGCGGTGGCCGCGGAGGGGATCGGGACGGCGGAGAGCGGGGGAGCGGTGGCCGGGGGGTGGCATTCGGGCCGTGTTGGTGGCCGTTTTCGAGCTCCGCCAGGCCTTGGGAAGGGGCAGGTGGCATCTCCTGTGGACCAGACGAAGCTGCGGGGGTGGCTTTCCGGGGGGCCAGCCCTGTCCCTCGGGGACTTGGATTAGATGTCCTTGAGGCGCGGCC